ACCACGCGTGTGTCACAGGTTCACACCAACGTTTCTGCCAATACTGACAGTTCTTCTCACAGCATTTTTCATGACGATGACAATGAGTGCTCTTTAAAATCCAACGTGACACTCTGTAGTCTACAATAACACTTGTTCGGAAGAACAATACACTTGTTTCAAATGTGAAGACTTTTAATCCTCACATACTACATACTGTTTACCTTTCTATTTATTTATTTAACCTGGCGTGATCAGACTCCGGGCGACCTGGGAATTGAACCCGGTTCCTCTGGAACATCAGTCAGTGCTCTTAACTGCTGAGCCATCTCTCTTCACTATTTACCTTTCTAAACATATTATCCTTCACATTTCTGACAACACAATCATAAAAGAATTTGCCAAAGTAGGAGTTGCATTTTCTTACATTGTTTTTTCTTCCAGTCTAATATGGCATAAAAAATACTCAGTTTCCTTACAAGCTGTCTACCTGGAGTTTGACTGTCTTCCATACTTTGAGTAATACCTACTATGTGTTGACAGACAGTAGAGATAAATACTACAGCAAGTCAGGCAAACAGTGCATACCTATAATCTCAGCAGTATGTGGGGGGTGCAGGCAGGAATATCAGAAATCTGAGGCCATCTTGGGTTACATGACATCCTATTTCACTTGTCCTTATGGAATGTTTTAGCCCAACAAATGGGCCACAAATATTAGAAACAATTAGATGATAGTATTTCTACAAGTATAATGGGTATTATAAAAGAAAAGCAGGGGTGTCATGGGATATATAAAGATCTGATCTACTGCTGAGCATGCTGGCCCATGCCTGTAATCTCAGCCCTTGAAAGACAGAGGCAGGAGAATCAGGAGTTCAAGGACAGCCTTGGCCTCAAAGCAAGTTTGATGCCCACTCACACAACATGAAACCCTGTCTCAAAGAGACCTGATCTGCTACTACAGCAGATGAAGAATGGCTTCCTGGAGGAAGTCATGAGTACACTGAAGGAAGACTGATAATAGAGAGAGATAATCTGGCAAGGAGGGAAGAAAAATGACTGCCAACAGGGAAGAGAGCTTATACAAAGGCAAGGAGTAGAAGGAAACACAGTATGTTAAGGACTGAAAAACAGCCAGCCAACGTAACTCATGAGGATCGTAGCTGCAAGTACACCAGGGAGGCAGTTACCACACTTCTTCGGTTGAGATGATGGTCGAGACTAGGAGGGTTCTAGTAAAATCCAGAGAAAAGAAGATGTATTTGAGAAATACTTAAAAATAAACCAGTGCTCACTTAGTAGAGTTTTAAAGATGACAAATGTGAGATTTTTCTCAGCTGTGAGACAAAACAGTAATGCCGAGATTCTGAGCTTTGTTGCTCCCAAGGAGACAGACTTCTACTGTAACAAGTTTCACTAATGGCAGTAAGTAACATCTTAGCAAGTTCAATTTTAGAACATGTGCCAAAAAGGTATGACCAAGATTACAGTAAAATCAAGCATGTATTTAAAAAATAATTATATATTATAGGTACTCCCTCCCAACTGCCAGATAAAATTACTAGCATTTGCAAGGTACAGATTTATAATACCACCTTATATCATTCATTTTCTTCCCTTTGTACTTCTGTAAAAGTATGGTTTCAAGACTTAGGGGGAAGAGGAATTTATGCTGTGAGTCAAATAACTCCAAACATAAATTCATAGGACAACATTTTGTATCAGGAATATCACAGTATACCTGAGAACATTAGGGGGAAAGGCAGCCACTGTATCTCTAAGATGCTACAATATCAAAGCAATACTGCCTCATGACACATGGTAACACTGGTAACCCAGGACATCAGTGCTGGGCTGGGGGTGCAGCTCAGTGGCGGGGCCCTCAGCTAGCTTTGCAAAGTGAGGGTCAATACCCAGCACCAAACACAGAGGAAAAAGAAGAGGTAAACAACCTTTTGTATAAAAGTTGTATAAAAAGGAACGACTTCTACACAGATAACTGAGCAGGAAATAGTATCATACGTGCTCTGTTCTCTCATTTGAGGTGATAAACTGAAATTTCTACACATCATCTTTCTGTTTCATATCACCAGTATAAAAAAAAATCTGATTTAATGGTAGGCTTGAAGATTACAGGAAGCTTATAGTACCCCTGACAAACAGACCATGTCAAAAATACCTGGTATTAGAAATTTATATTTAGCTCCCCTACCTCCATGGAGCAGAAACTTTATATAAATGGCTACGAAGAAATAATTTCTAGTGTTTTGCTTTAATAAACTAGTTCTCATAGGTCACCTAACATACATAGGCCTAGGCCTACCTTAAGATTATATATTATAAAATCAATTTCTTTTTCTTGTTTGCTTGTTATTTAAGTTCCCACGAAAAAACCTTTCTTGCAGGGCAGTGGTGGTGCACATCTTTAATCCCAGCACTCAGGAGGCAGATCTCTGTGAGTTTGAGGACAGCCTGGTCTACAGAGCTACTTCCAGGACAGCCAGGGCTACACAGAGAAATCCTATCTTGAAAAACAAAAACAGAAACAAAAAACCTTCTCAGTCTTCAATGGTCCAGGGTACATATATTTTTCTTGGATATTATCAGAAACCTAAAATGCTTACAGTTTTACAATGTATCTGACATGTTATGCTAAGACACAACAATTAACACTGTAGCTTCATATAATATACAAGAATCCTAATTAACAGCAGCATGAATGAAAAATCTCAGTCAAAACCCCAAGTTAGCCAGTGTTAAGTGTGAAAAAAAAATAAGGGGCTGGGCGGTGGTGGCACATGCCTTTAGTCCCAGCACTCGAGAGGCACAGGCAGATGGATCTCTGTGAGTTCGAGGCCAGCCTGGGCTACAAAGTTCCAGGAAAGGCACCAAAACACAGAGGAACCCTGTCTCAAAAAACCATAATAAATAAATAAATAAATAAATAAATAAGTAAGTAAGTAAATAAGTAAATAAATAAATTGAACAAACACTTTTAAAATGATTATCAGTAAAATTTAGAAATGCGTGTCTTATGAATGTCTCTACTGTCTATGAGTGGTTTTAGTAAAAATGCCATATGTGCAATGATGAGGTGATACACATAATTACCTACAGTAACCAGGTCCTGGAACTGTCAATCAGCACTCAGGGGGAGAAACCTGGTGAGTATCTAATACAGCTTATTTTACACATGAAAACAGTAAGGGATGGAAGAAAAGTGCAATGATGTCATAGATCTCATTTCTAGAAGACAGGGATCCAAACACATAATATGACAGAACCGAGGCCCAGTTTCCTATATGGCACTCTTTCCATATATTTAAAAAAAAATAAAATAAAATCTTACATTTTGTTTAAATCTTGTGGTGATCTGAATGCTTGGCCCCAGTTGGTGGAACTGTTTGGGAAGGATTAAGAGGTGTGGCTTTATTGGAGGAGTGTGTCACTGGGGGGGGGGGCGGGGAGAGGAGCAGGCTTGAAGGTTTCAAAAGCCCATACCATCCCAGTTAGGCACTCTGTCTGTCTGTATGTCTGTCCCTCTGTCTATGTCTCTCTCTCTCTGCCTTGTGCTTATGGATTAGATGTAAGTTCTCAGCTAGGCTCCAGCACCAGGCCTGCCTGCTTGCTGCCATGCTCCCCACCGTGATGGTCATAGACTCATCTGAAACAGTAAAGAAACCCCAAATAAATTCTTCTGTAAGTTGCCTTGGCTGTGGCTCTTATCACAGGAATAGAAAAGTAACTATGATAAATCTACATATGGATTGAAAGATAAATTCCTGAATACATCTTAATTTTTAACAGTATAACCAGAAAAATTACAAAGACAAGCAAGTATGTGTTCTAAATGTATACCATTATATATTTAAATGTACACACACACACACACACACACACACACACACATCATACCACAAGAGAACATCTAGACTCACAAATACAGCATCTTAAACATAAGGCTAATTTTATCATTTAAAAATTAATTTTAAAAAGTATCAGTCTTGAGAAAACACGTAGCTCTACAGGTGTGACTAAAGAGGGGAAATAAATCCAGTTTTGTCTCAAGGATGTCAAAATGCAGAATAGAAAGATTCAACCTCATGGCTTGCAACTGTTATCTACAGAAACCCAGAAACCTAGGGTTTGCTGCATTTAGAGCTTGGATGCTACTCTGTCAACCTCCTCAACCTAAGCTACCTTGCTGGAGCTCCCCACAGCCTGCAGGGATCTGTAGTTACTCAACCCTGGCCAAACGAATTAATCTTTTTATTCTCTAGACAATGTTTACAGGATGAGAAATAAAGGTTTCATTTAACTTCCTCTTATCAATGGAAAAACACCCTTCTCTTAAGAAAGGTTTCTTGAAAACTGCCTATCGACATAAATCCTTGGGATATGCTGGCTTTCTGGAACCAAAATACTGAAGTGTCAGCCAGACACTAACCAAAAGGGGAAGTCAATTATGCCTCGGCACCTCTAGACAAACATGTTTTGGGGAAAAAAAATCCGTCCTAGAGGGCAGGAATCTTCCTTATGTTTGCTTTAAAACCTTCTTACCAACCAGTTTCCATTAAATAAGATGCAAATGTTACACCGAATGGTCCTTCCCCTCCTCCTCCTTAACAAATGGACTAGGTCCATTAACATATCTAAATATTTTCATTTCTTTAACAAAGCCTTGATTCTCTTTTATATCTCACCAGGGCTATTTCTGGTTTTTAAAAATTCTTCTTGGACTATCATAAACTTGGAAAGAAAAATAAAATATGGTCCAAGACTACTCTTAGCATGTGGCTACAAGCATGGGCACAGCCTACCAAGTCTCAATTTCCTGTCCTCTAGGTTGAAGATGATTTTTTAAGATTCTACTCCTTCTTTTCCCCACACAAAGCCAGGGTATGGTTTCTGCATTTCATTTTTAAAAAGGAAATGCCAGGGTGGCAGTGCTCTGGGGTTGGTACCGGCCCTGCGGTCTGTGCTCCTTCCCTCCCCTTCCCTCAGCTCCCCAAACTCACCTGTTGGCAGTGCTGGTGGTGCTGCTCCCACTGCTGTGTTTCTGTGCCCGGCTCAACCTCCGTGGGGGCTTCGAGTGCTGCAGCCGGGGGCTCGGCATGGAGGGGAACGATGAGGCGTAGCCATGTTCACACTCTAAAAACAGCAAGAAGGGGGGAAAGGTATAAGAGGAATACAGACAGCCAAATCCATGGATCTACAAATCCAAGGTCCTGCAATAACACATTTTTTGAAAGTAGAAAATGTAACATTTTTCTACTCTTTCTGAATCGGAGATAAAATCCCAGTGTTCAGCCAATGTTGGTACATCCCTTTAATCCCAGGAGGCTGAGACAAGAAGATCCTGAGTCCAAGGCCAGCCTGGGTTATACGACAAGACCCTACCCTAAGGAACAAATTCCATTCGTTGCCTGAACATCAATCTGGTGGTTTGCACAGACCCAACCCGCTGCCAAGAGAGTATATCGAAACCTCGTCTAAACCAAATTCCGCCCTTCTCTCCAAAACATTTTATTCCAAGAATTCCTTTAAAAAGAAAATATTTTGACGTGTATTTAAGTGTGCAGGAGTCTATGTACCTGCACCATATGCATGCATGTTTTCTGGGAAGCCCGAAGAAACGATAGCTCTCCTGGAACTGAACCGAATGTGGGTCCCCATTATAGCAGCAAGGACTCTAAGCGGCTGGGCCATCTCTCCAGCACCAAGGATTCTTTTTAAAAATCCTAATTTCTAACACCGGTTACCATGCACCCCAAAAGATTTCACTTGCCTTATAAAAAACAAAAACAAAAAACAAACAAACAAAAAACCCTTCGTTTGATGAGGCTCCGCATTTTTGAGTGCCTCAACTCTTTCGATCACAAAGTCTTAGGAAGGACCTCTCTCTCCTGACAACAGCATTCCTGCTCTTCACACCCCAATACCCCAGTCTCTCCATTTCTCCTTCGGTCTCCGCCTCTAATGCAATCCCATCTCACAGCACGTCGAACGCTGCGTCCCTCCCGCAGCTCTCCAGGGGGACATTTTTTGCCCAGGGCTCTCGCAGGCCCCGCCTCCAGCACCCACACCTCCCCAGCTCCCTACCCACTCATCTCAAGTTGCCAGAGCTCTCGTCCAGCGCCCTCCGACCTCTCCTCGGGTCCGCCCCTCGCAGTCCAGAGTCGCAGGTCCTCCCCTCGAGCCCCCTCTCCTCTGCCCAAGCTCCCGCTCACACCGCATGCACGCTTGCATGCACGCAAGCACACCTGCCGGCCCTCGCTCGCGGGCTTCTTACACGCCTCCACTTGGGAACTCACCTGCACTCCTGAGCAGAGCTCCTTCCCGGCGCGCCCACCTCGCCACCGGCGCGCCCACCTCGCCACCCGCGCGCGCACCTCTTCTCTCTCTCCATCGCGCGCGCGCGCACCACACAGACACGCACACTTCTTCCCACACGCGCGTGCCCCTCTTGCCGCGCGCGGGCGCGTACCTCCCCTCACCGGTGCACGCACTTCCACACACGCGCGCACCTCCCCTCACTAGCCGCGCAGCACTCCCGCGCGGGGCCCGAGGCGGCTGTCGCCCAGCCGTTACCTCGCTCCCTGCGCTCCAAAAACTCGGCGGCCTCCAGCAGGCGCTGCACGTTGATCATCCGCACCCGCTCCATGGGCTCCGCGCTCCCGCCCCCGGCCGATAGGAGGCGCCACAAACGGCTACAGTCCCACGACGCCCCGGGACATGTGCGGCGGGCGGGCGGGCCAGCTCGGCCCCGGCTCGGCGCGCTCTCCGCCGCCCTAGCCGTGCCCGCCGCGCCCGCCGCGCAGCCTGCAGCCCGCGCGCGGTTTGTTTACTTCTCCGCGCGAGCACGGGGGAGGGACCCGAGCAGCGGCGAGGACCGCCCCTTCCAATGCCTCCTGGGAAATGTAGTCCAGTTCCCCCCCCTCGCCGCCACTGCACTTCGGGAGTCAAGGGACGGGGCCGCCTCAGTGCGCTTGCGCATGGGGAAACTCCGCGATGGCCTCTGGGAGTTGTAGTCTCTCTTTGGCTTTCGTTTTCTCGTTCAAGGATGGAAAGACTAAGAACTTACATGACTTTGCTTCTGAGGAAAAAGAGTTGGTTGAGCTTTGGGTCCGCTCCTAAGGAGACTCATTTCTTAGCTGATGCTCAGGGCCTAGAGCATTCATTCTTGAACTGAATCTGTCCTCTATCTACTGCTTTCTTGTGGAACTCTAATGCCTCGGTTTCCTCACCCACTAACAGGAAAGTAGCGTATCTGCAAAGGCTGCGTCACAGATACACTTGAGAACCAAAAATCGCTGTTCAGAAACTTGAGATCATTTAATGAGAGCCAGAGAGGACGTCCATGCGGCCCTCCCCCTCAGCGGCGATGCTGACAAAAGGCTTTCTAACCTCTTCTTTTTGGACTGTATTCTTCCTCGGTATCTCAGTGTTTTTAGACAGAAAACCTGTTCTGATGCTACAAGGAAAGGACATAAAGATATGATATTGGAATCATACTAATCTCAGTTCGAACTGGAGCTCTGGCTGTGTGGACTCTGAAGCTCCTTTTCCTCTTATATAAAACGGGTTTAATTCTTCCATTTATGCATGGTGTTGAGGTCAAAAGCGTGCCAGGCACTGAACCAGACTTTGTGTTTATGGTACTGAAAGAAACAGACATGGAGTTTGTTCCCAGGAAACATATATATTTAGTAAGCTTCGTTGTGAAGTCTAAATGAAATAATTCTATCAGTAGGTACATTCTAAGCACTCAGTAAACAGAAACTATGATGATTGCTCCTCCCCTGCTCTTCTCCTGAAAGGTAACTGACAATAGGGACTTCAAAAAACAGGGAGAGCCAGGAGGTAGTGGTGCACGACTTAAACTCAGCACTCAGGAGGCCATCCTGGTCTACAGAGCTAGCTCCAGGACAGCCAGGGCTACACAGAGAAACCCTGTCTCAAAAAACCAAAAGGAAAGAACAAAAAGCAGGGAGCACACTGAAAACCAGCCACTCTGTTCTCAACCACCACCCTCTTTTCCAAGGCCCCCGTCTAAGGGATGTCTTGACCTTGGCACTATTGACACTTGGATGGTTCCTCCTGGGAGCTGGGGTCTGGTCTGTGCATCGTTGGATGCTCAGCAGCATCCCTGGCCTCTACCCACTAGATGCCAGTAGCACACCACCACCCCTTGGGCATGACAACCCAAAATGCCTCCAGATATTGCCACATGTCCCATGAGACACAAAACCACACCAGCTGAGAACTCTGGGGAAAGCAAGCAAGATGATTGGAGTGCTGCATGCTCCAGGAGCAAGTGGGAGCTGTGGAAACCAGCCATGACCTGTCTCTGGTCATGTTCACCTGCTCCTCCAGGTGATGAGACGACGTCCCCTTCCTTGTGGTCATGTTATGGCTACTGCAAAAAAATACATCTTGGGATGGATCACTTACCCTCTCAAAAATGTTATGGGTTTGTGCTGTATGTTTAATGCTCTCTCTCTCTCTCTCTCTCTCTCTCTCTCTCTCTCTCTCTCTCTCTCTCTCCTCCTTCATGAGCAGTGTCTCCAGTGAGGTCACAGGCCCTTTTAAATATTACACTTGGCACAACATTTAAGAAATAGATGATCATCAAATTCAGGGAGACCCAAAAGGAGAGGCGTTCACAAGCCACAGTGGGGCAGGGGGACTTTTCTAGACTTTAAAGAAGGGACTGTGCTTTTTCAGCTGTTGGATAGGTGTAGGGTTTTCCCATTGCGTACTGATAACAATAGCCCTTCCTTCCCAGCCAAGGACATTACTGGATAGAGGTAAGAAGAAAGTGTGTGTGTGTGTGTGTGTGTGTGTGTGTCTCACTCTGCCAGGTGAGTGGGCTCACACTTTTAAGCCCGGCACTCAGGAGATAGAGGCAGGCCTGGTCTCCAGAGTGAGTTCCAGGACAGCTGGAAATACATAGAGAGAACCTGTCTCAAAACAAAACAAAACAAACAAACAAACATTCACTCAGAACACCTGAGTTGGAAATAAAAAAACATGTAAGGTTAAAGGCCAGCTGTGGTGGTACAATCCTTTAACTCCAGCCTCTTGGGAGGCAGAGGCAGATGGATTTCTGTGAGTTCAAGACTAGCCTGGCCTACACAGTAAGTTAGTGTGTTCCAGGTCAACCAGGGTTATACTGTGAGACCCTGTCTGGTCGAGGGGGCAGAGAAAAGAAAGATGAGTTTAAAAGTTCACTTTTACCACTTGCAGAAACCCTTAAAATTTTCAACTCCAGCGGTGGTGGTGGCACTTGCCTTTAATCCCAGCACTCGGGAGGCAGAGCCAAGCAGATCTCTGTGAATTCGAGGCCAGCCTGGGCTACAGAGTGAGTTCCAGGAAAACCCCCAAAGCTACACAGAGAAACTCTGTCTCAAAAAACGAAAACAAAACCAAAAAATTCAACTCCAAATTCCAAGGACTCTGTGTGGGGCGTTTACCCACCACCCCCACAGCTTCCCAGAGTTTTCTTGAGTGCGAGCAGCAGGAAATATTAG